TCTTAAAAATCAGTCTAGAAATGTATTTTATTGTCTTAAGAGTTTTTGTAAAACATGAAAGCAGCTAAAATCAATACTTTATCAAATCGCCGGCGAGTTATATAAGCTGGATATTTAATTATAGTTTAATGAAAGCATTCATTGATTTTGACGATGGTTCATGACGAAGCAGAAAGAAATGTATTGACTAGAATATTACTCATACGACACGGTCTGCCACTTATTAACCCACTTAATTGTGCCAGGAAAATGACATTTCTCGGGCTGTTTAATTATTTGTAATTTAAGTTTAAGTTCGTCACGGAACTCTGATGGATTTTCTCATTGTCTCACCGTGTTTCTCCTTTTCTCTCTCTGTTTCTCAATAGTGCGGCATGCGCCATCCCACAACTGGGCTGAACGAAGACGACCTGAGTCGTCTCACTGGTTCATCATCGTCGACGGCTTCGTGCGGCAGCGCAGCATCCTCATCATCGTCCTCATCCTCGTCGTCCTCAAATCCCGCTGACCGGCATGAGGTGGTCTGCAGTCCGGAAAAGCCAGCGCCGGCGGACACGGACAAGAGCCACCTGAACAGCGGCTTTAGCTCCACCTACCTGCCGGAGATCATTCATCCGGCTCTGGAATGGCAGAAGTCTTCGCGCAAGCGCAAGGAGCGCCTGGACAGCACCTCGGCCTTTGGCCAGGATCGAAAGCTTCAGCGCAGCAACAGCGAGGAGCTGCTCACAGAACCGGCTGCCATCGATTCTTCCACCGCCCAAGTGGCGGCCAATCTTCTGGAAGCCCAGTGTGAAGTTATTCGCCGGGTTTCTTCGGAGGATTTCAAACGCACGGCCAGTTACGCCAACTATCGGCAGGAGTTCGAAAGGGAGCAGGAGGAGTGCTCAGAGCTGGGTGAGAACAATGCCTCGTTGGCGAACCTGCCGACAGGCGAAGCAGCCAAAGAGCGTCCTCGTCTGGAGACAAGCCCCGCTCGCCAGCCACCAAAGGAAGCCAGCGATGACTCCGAGTGCGAGCACGAAAGGCGACGCAGCAGTGAGCGTTTCTGCAAATCCCGCCAGCCGCCGGTGCGCAAGTCTGGGGTGGCCAAGAAGGGCGGCGGAGGCAGTGGCTCCAAGTACCTGCCATCCCGACGGGATGAGCAAAGCGCCTACAAGTACGACTTGTCGGCTTTGAAGTACGAACGCAGAGGTTTCATCAGCAGCAGGAAACAGCAGCAAAATCAAACACAACCAATGCAGTCTGCTGCAGATCACAACGACAACAACTTGATAGACTTCCACCAGCAGCAAAAGGAGCTGCAGTCGAAGAGGAGCGCCAGTATTTCCCCCACACCCACCACGAGCTCCTCGGCGGGCAGCGATGACAGCACGCCCACTTCCAATGCCCCCGCGCCCATTAAAGCCAAACCTCAGCGGCAGCAGCAGAGCCTGGATCTCACCTCCGCGCAGGAGTCCCTGCCTTGGGAGCGTGGGGATGAACCGGCGCCCATCCTGAGCAGGAGATACGCCCACTCTCGGCCACATATCGGGGGCAATCTCGATGCGGCCGCTAAACTGGCCAAGGTCATGCCATATCCCCAGCAGCTGCCCAAACAGGCAGCCACCGTGCAGCTGCACTCGGACATCACCGACATGGACTGCTGCCTGGAGCCCATGGATGCAGTGAGAGCGTTCAGTTCGCTGGAGAATATGCGAACACGCGATGTTATGCAACAAGTGTTGCCCGCCATGATGGGGGCATTTCAAACGCCCGAGGATCGAGTTAAGGCCATCAACAGGCGGGTTACCGTGCTGAAGAAGAAACTGGTCCAGCTGGAGGAGTCCCTGGAGCAGAGGCTGGGCTACCGGCCATCCCAGGCGGAGCGATTGAACGACAAGTACATGAAGAACGCCCTGGCGGAGTTGAGCAAGCTGCGCAAGGAACGGCACGAGCTCAAGACTGATCCCATCGCAGCTCTGGGTCTGAAGGTGGGCAGCGGAGGAGGCGCCGGCATCGGTGGCCAGGAGGTCGCCAAGAAGCTGGAGCGCATGAAGGCCACCCTCGCTGAAATCGAACAGGTAATAGAAATCTCCTTTAGCGGCTCTCCGTCGCTCTGCAAAATCACGAGACACGACATATTTTATGACAATTAGCAAGTGGAGCTGACGTCAGAAACATTTCCACATACATGTATATACCACACACAATAGGCAGATATCATATATTATACGTAGATTGCCTCGACAGCCGTCTGCGGTGACATGTTCAGCAATTTGGCAATAACTTTGATCTTGCCCCATTCTCGAAAGGCACTTCGTAGACATTTTTTGAAAACAAAATGTTGCTCTGGCCAGAATATGAAGATTCATTTCGCGGTTCGGCGACGTTTTATTCCCTGTCAGAGAGCTTTTAAGGGGAACAGGATAAGAGAGTGTAAACAGTTCCATTTATTCGACGCTGAAAGGGTTTTGCAATAACATCGAACAGTTTCTTTGAGAGGAAATATCATTTCAAGATACTTATATAACGGGCAATTTCCATTGGCTTTTATATAATAAAAATATTCAATTATTTTCTTGCCATTTCTATGGTTTCACTAGGACAGACCCAAATCGCGCATTCCAAATTAGGTCGTTTCTTTCACATTATAATGGCTATCTATTTATACACATATACCATATGAATGCAGACAAGCCTCCACATTCGCTATATTGACAAATTAATGATACATTTGTCATAGAACGCGGCAGACAAACATTTCGCCCAAAGGAATCCGCTCGAAATTGAATTTCTGCCAAGAAAACAAAGTGATTGGCTTTGGTGTGGAAATGGGAAAATGGCCAAAGAGCAGCCATCCAAGTGCTTGCCCATATATATTATTGTTATACTGCAATGTCGGCACTGCATATGTATAATTTGTTTACAATACGGATATATTCCGCACTTGTTTCTATTTTTATTTGGCGCTCTGGCATCTTCTTTTCAAGTGTCTGCCGTTGTCGCTTGCTCATCGCCAGTCTGCCATAAACAAATCAAAAGCGGGTAATACCTTGGGCCACTGATTAATTGTCTTGTTTACCAAAGTGGGTGGTCTTTATCAGTTAACTGCCGGCTTCTGTTCCACTGATTACTAGCTTTTTATCGTTCTGTTTCGAATCAGCAGTACATTTACTAATTTCTACCTTTACCTTGCAGAATCTGAACGAGAAACGCGTAAATGGCCATCGCTCCGAGCAGCTGGAGGATCTGAATGCCGACCAACTGGTGCAGGAGAAGAGCGCCGTACAGCATGGCCTGCTGTACTTTGAGAGCCTCTATGGTCATCCTATCACCAAGGAGGAGCGCGATGCCGCCCGGCCACTCTACGATCGCTACCGGCAGCTGAAGCGCCTGGTGTCGCGCACCGTGATGTTTGGAGCGGGCACAGGTATACCCGAGTTGCCCACAATCCTGGAGCATGAGGCTATGGTGTTTGAGGCCACTTCCACACCGCAGCAGTATTCATCGAACAACAGCACAGAGACCACCAACTCGCCCAGCGACTCGAATGCCCCGAATACTCTGACCCAAAATGCCTCCTCCGACGAGTCAACGACCACCACCACGTTGACGGGTCCGGCAACGGGAAATTCGGCCACAAGCCAGGAGAACCAGGCCGCCAGCGAAAATATCGCCGCTCTGAGTGTGGACCAGCTCTGGGAGCAGTTGGATCGTGCCCGCGATGAGAAATCCCTGCTAAAGTCCACCATTCGGGAGTACGAGTCGCTGTTCGAGGAGCAGAATGGACGGAAGATGCTCAAGCAGGATCGTCGTTCACTGGAGACGGAGACCTACGCCCAGTACAAGGAGAAGAAGGCCAAGGTCCGGCTACTGCAGGCCCTGATCAAGAAGCACATTGGGCATTAAGCTACAGATATCCTACTTCCATTCATCCACGCATGCAAAACTATTTATTTCATAACCAACCAAACAAATACAGACCTAGATCTATACAAATTACATGTAGTTTTTAGACTTATATTTACCATATATTCTATAATGATACATTTTATGAATATTGTTGATTCCTTATTGTTTTTTGAAAACATCTATTGAGTAATTGTAATAAAAAGAAAATTACATTTTATGAGACAAAAAGGAGTGATTGAGAAAGTAAACGCTAGACATTTGATTCAGCCCCATCTCCATTTTATTTGGACTCCCGCACGGAATTGATATCTAAGTGTAACCCTAAAAACTGCAATATATTTTCGGCTCCCCTTTTGTGTTCAGTAAATCGTCATTGATGTTAAAAAATGACTTGGCCTGATTTGTCCCACTTCTAAAACGGGGAGCACACATTATTCGATTAGCTATAGTTTTAAACGATCTATAAGAGGGACACGTTGAAACCGCAAATCAAATAACTAAACTTTATAAATGTTGTCTAGTAGAATTGAACATTTTATATCGATATGCAAACACTAGCAACCTATTAACCAAAATACCAGGCATTTTAGTTGTGCTTTCCATTAAATGTTTCAGTGTGCAAATGGCACGCCTCCACACGCGAGAATCGAAAACAACCAAGCATTTGAGAGCGTTGGAAGCGGAAGTTAAGTTTAGACGATCATAAGTTAGGTTCGTACACTGGCCAAAAAGCTGGGTAATGATTTTTGTGCAGAATTAGGTTTTTTGAACGTGTATGGCCTCGCCCCTAACCAACGCAAACATTATATGAATATACATATATATATATTATATTTACAATGATGAAGAATGTAAGGCCCAGGCCAAGCAAGCACATATGTAACGTGTATTTGAACCACGTACACTTATATTTACATGTTTACATATACCAACATCCAAAGCAAAAATATATACACGTATAGGACTCAACATTTACAAATCCAATATTCTTATATGCAGCCCGCTGATTTGGGCCAATGTGGAAAGCAGAGCGTTACAATTATCTCCCAGCTAACTGAAGCGATTGAATGTCTATACATAATTTGTAATGCAAAATAAAATATATCACGTTATATTAAACAGTATCTTTCGAGTTTTTATTGCTTCAAATGACTACAGCAGTTTAATTTTTGTTGTCGTTTGGTGATCGATCTTCACAATCCGTATGATACCTGCAAAAAGGTAACATAGAAATTAGGTTGTGTTCTTAAGGTTTAATCACATTGATAGAAATAAATGTGACTGATCAGTCACATGAGTTTTCGACAGAGAAATTCAGCTATATGCTTGTCTAGGTTTTCTTCAAGAAAAAATGATAATCTTGCAAGAATTTAAAAAATACTTACCACCATAGTTTAGCAGAATCACAATCGATGCCAGATGTCAGGTATTACCTAGAAGGAAAAATAATATGGATATTAAACAATGGCTAGTGTTTAGCTATCGCAAATAGCGATATTTTGTCAGCTGAATATATCATCAATTATTCTTATGACAGGGATAACTGTTTGGCTTAAATAAGGTGTTCATCATAACATCATTGCTTCGTTCTATTATTTAATTTACTAACCTTTTTAACATTTCCACATTCATGAAGGTTTCAGCCACTCGATAAGTCGTTCCATTAATTGTGAAAGCCTAAAAGAGGAAAAGCAAGTTTTGATTAAGGTTGGTTCGTGTGATTGATTCGGCACAGCTAAAATTATTTGTCTAGTTCAGTCAAAAAAAGTAGCAACACACGTGTATTCAGGTATATGCTTGTCTATTGGTTTGTCATCAGAAAGAAAATGTAGGAAAATGTTAGGAATTGTTTAGTACACACCTTTATATAGTTAATGGAAAAAAATACTTCCACGGGTAATCTTCATCTGTAAGAAAAATAAAAGCACTGTTTTAAAAACGATCCAATAGAGTGGCATAAAGCGAAACATTGATTAGTCAGTAGTTTTAACCAATCGACATAATTTCTCCGACTGGGGCGGTATCCTTGATCATCATAATATTAATATAACTTAATATTAATTTCGTGATTGACCCACCTTGCAATTCATTATAATCCAACCCAATTTGGGTACAGCAAATGATGTAATCCTGTAATTTAAAGGAGTACACATTTAATAAAAAGGAAGTTTACAATTTTATAATAATTTATAATGTGATATGTATCAGTAAAAAAAATCCAATCGACATAATTTCTCCGACTGGGGCGGTATACGAAATCATCATAGAAAATAAGGGTAGTGTTAAAGATTGGTTGATATAAAACATACCTTGAACTTAAAATCAATTGCTGTTTGTGTACTGTTACCACTGTGAATATCTGTAAGATAAAAGAAAAAGGATTTACTACAAAGGTCTATCAAAGATTCACAACTATTCAAGAATTTAGCTATCAGAAAATTAATCCAATCGACATAATTTCTCCGACTGGGGCGGTATACGAAATCATCATAAAAAATAAATGGGGCGTCAAAAATTGTATTTGAAAGTTGGCCTACCTTAAAGGTTTTTAAGCCATCCTCCACTTGGTGGAATTTGTTATTTTTGTATATATGCAAATCTGAAATATAGAAACCCATATTATTAGTAAGATGATAGACATATATGTATATAGATCGCCTTTAAAAGTTAGTGTGTCAGATTATTGTATCATCAATTATTCTTATGACAGGGATAACTGTTTGGCTGTAAAAAGTTGTTCATCACAAAGGCAATATCTTAGTAGATAGCAAAAAGCAGGAACTGACCTTTTTTAATCACCAAAATTCCTTCGTAGTTTGATATAGAGTGCAAATATCTGTAAGAATAAAAACATAATTATTATCATTCGAATAAAGGGAAATACTAATAAGAAGAGTTTCATGTATGAATCAGCAACTTTTATCATCAATTATTCTTATGACAGGGATAACTGTTTGGCTTAAATAAAGTGGTCATCATTGCGCATATGAAGTTAAATTTTTTTTTTTAGTTATATGCTTACCATTTATTCATGAAATTCGATGAATATTTCCGCATTTCCCTTTGCCTTGCCTGTAAAATAAAGTACTTTAGTTTATGCTTACTAAAATTTGATGTAAAATGGTTTTGTTTTGCTGGGCTCAGTCAGGTGAAAATCAACATGATTGTTCGGTTATATGCTTGTCTATTGGTTTGACATCACAGAAAAGGTACATATATTATTGTTATATTACAAAATAATTACTTACCTTTAAACTACATAGCCCAAAACCGATTTTCAATGCGCAATACAACTATTTCTGAAAAGATAAAATAAAGTTGCTTTTAAAACTACTCGTACAGAACACAAAAGTAATTCTTGCATAATTTAAATCAGCATTTTAGTTTTGCGTTGGATATGGAACAGTTTTCTTCATTGAATATCAAAGCGAGCTGGGTAAATGTTTCATCATAATATTTCTAAAAATGTTCGTAAATCTTTTGTTAAATTACCTTATATTTCCGAATTTACCCTCAGTTTTGGTTTCCATTGGTAGACATTGTTCTATAAATACAATATAAAACGAAAAATAATCAATTAATACTGTATGTGCAGATTTGTGATGATTTAACACTTGTAAATATATGTACAAATGACTCAGTTTCTAAGGTGTAAGTATTCATCAAAGCTCTTCAAGAGTAGCAAATAATAATAGATCATCATTTTCAGGTATAACTAGTTAACATACCCAAATTTAATACACACCTGAGAAGAGATCCAGATGTTTTTGTGGATGGCCTATTTTGGTCATTTTTGTGAACAATTTTCTGTAAATATATTAAGAAAACATAATATAATAGCCGTATAGAAAGTCACATTTATAAGTGTATGATAAAAGTCAGCAATATAAGTTTTGCGTTGGATATGGAACAGTTTTCTTCATAGAAAATCAAAGCGAGCTGGGTAAATCTTTCATCACACAAATATACAATGTTACTTTATAAACTGTGTATTTTTAATTACCTAATTTTTCCATTCTTAATTAGCAGTCCAACCAAGACCTGAATTTAATTCTGAAAATATATTGCAATATTTTAAGCATTAATATTTAGGTAAAAGAGTTTATTCGATCTAATCTAGTTTAATTAAAGTCAGCAAGTTATTTTTGCGTTGGATATGGAACAGTTCTCTTCATAGAATATCAAAGCGAGCTGGGTAAATGTTTCATCATACGAGAAATGTATCGCGAATAATATAGTAATGTTATTACCTCAAATTTTTCATTTATCAGGAATTCGTAAAGCCCTTATTTCGGTTTATTTGAACTCAATTCCGTCTATCTGCAAACACATTAATAAAATATATTAAGAACATTAAACAAACAAATTCAGTCTCGATGAGACTTAGTTTTTTAATTTTACATCAGGTTTTAAGGTGAAAGTATTCATCAATGACCTTCAAGAGTAGCAAATAATAATAAATCATCATTTACATGTTTTTTATTATTCAAATGTATGAAATACCCACCTTCTCGTAAACCACGTGCCTTTCAATCCACTTTTAATTTGAATCTCTGCAAATAGAAACACAACCATGTTAGATATATTAACAAAAAGCGCATAGCTTGTTGAAAAAGTCAAGTAGTCAGCAGTATATTTTTGCGTTGGATATGGAACAGTTCTCTTCATTGAATATCAAAGCGAGCTGGGTAAATGTTTCATCATTCAGTTATAGAAGATATCAAGCAACTATAGTTTACAATGTGCATAGTACAGTACTTTCAAAAATTCCACAATTTTAAAATCGAATTTTTGGGATTCGAAGTAATAACCACGTGGAATTTCATGGAACCAAGGTACTTATTTGTTTCTCATTTCCTTGGATATGACATTGTTGCAATAGATTTTAAATAGAGCATATGGCTAAACTATTGTAAACTATAGTTAAGTGATGTTCAAAAATTTTAAGTCAAAACTAACCTTACTTTCGGACACGTGTGGATAAATTTGGCAGAAAACCACCAAAACTGTTTTTTTCCATTGCTATATTCAATGATTGTCCTGCTACCGCACATCATCCTGTAAATTAAAGAACAATATGAGTATATTGCAATTTTATCACTAAATCAGTCGGCAACTTGTGGCTTTTTATTATCAGTATAAATAACCAATCAACACGTCTCTTCAGACTGGGGCGGTACGAATATTATCATCAAGTAAGCCATCTGCCTATTTAATATACTTTAATGAAACGTCATCTTACCCTTTTATTAAACTTTAATTGAGAATCGAAGCAGAAAACTCGACCGTCCATTTTGAATGAAAAAAAGAAGTGAAAGAATGCACGTGGCGATGTGACCGTATTACGATTCTACAAAAATATTGCTTTTACCTAGCCGGTAATCGATAGTTCTCGAGGGTAGTTCCAAAAATCGTGTGCCCTACAAAGTGTGAATAATTTGTTTTATTGCTCAATATTTATTATTTTTAATATTATTTCGTAATGCGAGTAGTTAAAAGCTTTTTAAGCAAGTACTTAAGAAATAGTATTAGTTTTAATTAAAGTTGATTTATATACAATTTTTTTGCATAGTTTTGGTGTTGTTTCTTAAAATACCACCGATACTAATGTTTTATTCAAGCAAAGACCTCGATACCTACTAAAACTATCGTTATTTTATTATGAATTCACTTAAGTTTGTAAATGATACCTAATTATTGTAATGGTGCTATCGATGGTTCTTAACACAGCTGTTGGTCCATCGAAGTGCTCCACCGAAGTGGTGGTGCGCTCTATCTTAAGTACCGTTTTGACTTAAACTGCTGCCTGGTCACACTGCGTATTTGTTGTTGCGTGCCGTTGCGTCGCGTGTGTGTCTCTTTGCGTAACGCTTAAAGTTTTGATTTGTATTTTCTCCGGCCGACGAATCCGCCGAAGAAATGGTGCTGACCAAGGAGTACCGCGTGTGCATGCCGCTTACGGTGGAGGAGGTGGGTGGCCGATTGTACTTTGCATTTATAATAAAGCCTCCAAATCAAGTTTTTCTCTCATCATATTGCAGTACAAAATCGGGCAGCTTTATATGATAGCGCGCCATAGTCTGGAGCAATCGGCGGAGGGCGAGGGCGTTGAGGTGGTCGAGAACAGGCCCTGCGAGGATCCCGTTCACGGCAAGGGCCAGTACACGGAGAAGCACATTCACTTGTCCAGGTGGGAATCTCTAGAGGCGCTACTTAGTTGTAGAATATCTCTCTGACTACAAATAACTTCCATTTTAGCCGACTGCCCTACTGGATCCAGGCCATTTGCCCCCGCGTTTTCTATGTAATAGAGAAATCATGGAACTACTATCCGTACACGCTAACAGGTGAGGAGTGACAGTAACCCACCACCACCTACTGCGCATCCCAGTCTATTTTTAGTCTAATTGTGTATTCTGGAGGCGGGGCTGCCGTCCTGCCATCTTACTAAAGCCATATGGCAAACGTTCATCGTGTGATTTTTTGGGGGCCAGCAAGAATTCCCCCTTATCACCAGACCATCATCAATACGTCTGCCGATAAGTCCTCCACCAAACACCTGTTTACGTCACCGATATGGTTTTGTTTGGAATTGAAGAAAGCACTCCATGGCATTTGTTAGCAACTGCGTGTATTCCCAGCGCATATGTTGATAAAATCGGATTACACGGTCTCCATTGCATCCGATTGAAAGCTATGCACTCGATGGGGATTATGGCAGTGGGTCGTTGACATGGAGGGAGTAATGGTTTATTTACATGCAAAGCTGTAATACTAGGATATTACTTTATAAGTCGTTGATTTTGATTCTATGAAAGCAGGCCTAACTAACTTCGCCTTTAATAGGTTATTTACGTAAAATAATCAATCAAATTGTAGGGCTTATTATTAATGTTTAATTGCGACTTTGTACCAAAGACCTTTAAATATTTCATGGAATCAAGGGGCTCTTATTATCAGATCCATGACTACTGTATTTTTAAGTATTACAAGCCAACACATTTAATGGACGGGGCTTATTGATTTTTATTCCTGTCATATTTTTATGTGCTGTAATTGATGTGAATTTGGATGGAACCTTCACCAGAATACACGGTAATTGCCTGAACTCTATTTTGATCCGCCTTCGCTAACCAATTATTTCTTGACAGTGTTCCTTCATACCCAAACTAAATGTGCTTATCAAAACTAAGTACGAGGACAATAATGGCAGCACAGAAAACGTAATAGTAACTTGAAGGTCAAACTTAACATTGAAGAATAATGTAATTTTCTTGTCAGTGTCTGGAACTTACTGAAGAAGAGCTCAATGCCCGAGCTGTGGAATATTTGGATATAGCGTTCGATGAAGTCAGAGCCAAGCATTATAAGAAGGAGGAAGATCCCAAGTTATTCAAATCCGAAAAGACAAGTAATGTGATCATGTGAATGATAAAATTCAGGCAAAAAAAAAATGCATATTTATTTTATTTTTAGACCGTGGTCCACTGATTGAAGGATGGCAGAAAACGGACAAGCCCATTATGTGCTCCTATAAAGTTGTCCATGCCAGCTTTGAGGTATGGGGTCTGCAGACCAAAGTGGAGGACTTCATTCAGCGCGAAATTTGGGAGATTCTCCTACTGGGACACCGGCAGGCTTTCGCATGGGTGGACGAATGGCATGGAATGACCCTAGAGGATGTTCGGGCCTACGAGCGCCAAAAGCAGGCCGAGACCAATGAGAAAATTCACAACACAAGTGGTGCCTCTGATGGAGATATTTATTGAGAATTTAACTAAAACCTAGGAAAATTGAAGTGACAGAATGCAGGCAGAAATAGTACCTTTAAGGCCTCGCGGCAAGCTTAAAAAGTTTCATAGAAAAGATCTTATTAACGTACGCATATTTGTGTGTATATATCATTGTCGATGCATTTCTACGGTCCAAAGAAGCTCAGAGCTCTAGTAACTGCCTGCTGCGTTTAAAAGTACAATGCACAAGCACCTAGCTGGAAACTCGTAACCAAATAATTGTTACAAACCAGACCACGCAATTTTTAGTCAAACGTTTATGCGTTGCACAGACATCCTAGTGAAAGGTTTGTGTTAACTATATTCCCTAGTTTAGCTCACATCTAAATGTATATTTTGTTGTACAAATACCAACGATTAAACATATTAGAAATGTACCTATGTCATATGATTCTTAATTACTTTTATTCAGCACCCGAGGGCCATTAAAAAGTTTTGATTTGTTGCTGGCCAAATTATAAGTCATTTGTATGCCAGTGAACCGAGCAGCAGATAGAGCTGATTCACCACCTACTTGACCGAGTGGATCGCCAGTGTGTAAGTCAATAAATGCGAGCGGAATTGACCCTGACGCTGATCATAAATAACCCTCACACCGGGGAACTGAACAGCTGCTCCACCCGAAACGAGCCCCCAAAAAACGTGGAGAGGACTATTGATAAGTCTATTTCGCTCTCGCTGCCAGCTGATTTGCCGCTGGAGATCTCGGACGTCAAAAATGATTACCCGCGGAGCGGCTAAAGAAAAAAAAACAGCAAAAGCACCAGCGGTTCGCGTTCGCGCCGCATTTGAACTTCAAACGCGAGAAAAGTAGCACAGTGCGGATAGATACGCGGATGCGTGGTCATTAAGCGACGGATCGCGGAAAATAACAATTTTTTGATCATGATTTTAGCATAGAGCAAATGGCAGAGCCAAAACAATTCAATCGAAATTGCCCAACCTGCCCTACCTGTGCCGATCGGCACAATGGAATATTCTGATTGAAAACAACGCAACCCGGATAAACAGTCTTTAAATAAATATTTAAAAATACCCGAATAATATTATGGCGACCAGTGTGTTTCAAAAACGGGCAGCGAAAACATTTTCGCTCTTTTGCATGCTTTTAGTAAGGTAAAAACACAAGTGGACCCCGCGGCATATGTGTAATCCAGTGTAATAGTTGCAATTCGCCGCTGTTATCAGATGTTTACAGCACTAGCTTATTTATTAATAAACATACTAAATCCTATTCTGTGCCACTCCATATGTGGGTTATAGTCCATGGTAAACCTTTTATGGGGCCATGCAATCAAACCGAACTGATTGGGTTTTATGGTTAATATAAAGACTAGGCAAACCAAACGAACTGGAGTACATTAAAGAGTTCACTAGAACCAAAGCCTAAGTTGCCCTATCATTGTTTGTACTTCCCACACATGATATGATAGCTTTATTCTTCTTTTTTGTGTAACGAGTTTAATATTCCAAACGCACATGGCAATTAGAGCAATAAAGTTCTATGGTAGCAACTCCCTCAAAATTTAAAACAGAGGCGAAAAGCCATTCCGCACTTATCGCTCACCCCAAGCAGCGTATCACAACCATGAATTTCAGAGGGATTCAGGTATCTGGCTCAAATTTAAGAATTCTTATCGCAGTAACGGCTATAAAAAGTTTTCGTTTATCAAAATAATATATAACAACAAAACGCTTTCAGATCTGGGTCGGTTGTCTGCTCACATTTCTTCAAATCATCTTTTCGATTTTATTTATTCTGCGGCACCTATTGAGCAATCTCGATGAGAATCAAGAACCAATTGACAGCCGCTGTCGTGACGGATTTATAAGTGGATTTATTTAGATTTAGTGTTAGTGGAAAAGTGATTGAAATGTTTGCAATTCATCTTCAGTGTACCTTTTAATTATTATTTTTTCCTGACCAGCCGATTTTATTGTCTAAATGAAAAAGCATGCCAACTGTCCCATGATCAAGAGTCAACTGAGAAGTGATATTCAATTAAAATGCGACTGAACTTGTCCGCAGATGCTATCACGCATACGCCATGTTGCACACTTGGTATACATTTCAGCGAACCAAGTGAAACTTCGAGGGACAAATAAAACAAATTTCGGTGTCGGAAAATATTGAAATACAGGTCTGAGCGTCTGTTTGTGTGTACCCTTTCAATTTGGCAGTAATAATTAATGATAATTGGCAGCCCAAGTCACTCGGAGAAAGAGTGTCGATTCTGTCAGTTAGGATTTTGGCTTTATAAAGCACATATGCGGAATAGCAAACGAATTTCAATATTTGTCGTTCCCAAAATGTTACCACTTCTAATCAAACAAAGCTGCTACCGAACTGCCTTTTTTCGTGGATTAATACGAAAATATTGTCGATGTTGTTATATTTCACTTTGTGTATTGTTGAGTTTAACGCCTTGAACGCCAGTTGCTAATTGTCAGTTAGTACCCTTCGGAAAATGCGCCGGGGAATATTAGAAGATGATGTATGTATTTTCCGTGCGTATTCTCGCAGCGTTCTTATGATTACTCAATAATATTTACTGTTGAAAATTCGTTTCGGAAATAATCTTATAAATATTTCACCGAAAGTTTTCCCCGACCTACCTCTACATTCAGTAATACAGTTGAAAAACACACTTGAATCGCGGAAACGGGCCTTTAAAATCATCCCAGACTGTGACTCCTGTGTGTCAACCAGCAATGTAGCACCTATAGATGTGGCAAATGAGCATCATGTGATACACTTCGATTCTCGGTTCGCTAATAGAACCGCCATATAGACAAAACAAACAAGATTTCCATACTACTGCCAGCGTGAATGTGAGTTGAGTTTAGCTACCGTTTAGATTACAGACATATATTTGTCAAGTCGGTTGGCTAAAAGCAGTTTGAAGTGCTTAATACCGATTCATGGCTATATTTAAAGGCGAGATGCGTAAATGGGCCATATTCTTTTCTCAATTTATCAACCCTCAACATGTTAGTTGAGCCAAATTTCCGGGATGTAGGGCGAGAAAATAAAGGAAATTAAATAGTTAGTATCTCTATCCGTATCTGTGTATTCCCAAAGCAATTAAGTCTTACCTGGCGCCTGCTTATCGAGTTGGCCCTAAAAGAGAGTCGCAGTGCGACTAAATTTATCTGCCTATCTGGCCCAAAAATAGCATCATGAGATAGACATTTATTTACTTATCACTTATCTGTTACTTAGACTGGGCCATGCAGCGGATGCCAGCCATGAGACGAGCACTTTGCTGACCACCATCACCACCGAGATCATGCCGATGCCCGATTCCGGGCGCGGCTGCTTTGGTTGGTCTTCGGCGCCGGAGGCGGCGGGCGGAAACTGCTCCAGATCAAACCGGAACGGAACTCTTAAGTGCTATGGCGGAATGAATAACCTCGCTGCCCTGAAGTGAGTATGGTATACAAATAAATAGGGTTCATTTAAGTCCCCTAAAGAATAAGAACTTTGTAATTGTGCCCGATAGGTGGCGCATCAGATAGTCGAAGCACTTTGCTTTATGCTTCCTTTTGCTACTAATTCCTGTAATGGTTTTATATATTCATTATAGCCAGTCTGGAAAGTTGAGCAAAGCGCAGCCCGCACTGGAAATGCTTCTCTGCGGCTGGCCAAAGGACGGTCTAAATCATTTCAGGGATCTTCAGAAATTGCCACGCCTTCGGTCACTGACCATCGAGTACAGTGGCTTCACCGAATTCAAATTCGATTTTCCCGAGATGTCGGAGCTTCATACCATCAATATTTCGTGGACGAATCTCTCATATATTTCATCCCGAACCTTCAAACGGGTGCATCCGCTCAAGGTTTTAGATCTGCGATGGAACCAACTCATCCAACTGGATGGACCTCTGTTGCTGCCCCGCAATTTCGAGCAGCTCTATCTGGCGGGTAATCCGTGGAACTGTACGCGAAACTTCAAGTGGATGTTGCTGCAGCCGGAAAAGGGACGTCTGGTGGTGGACCGCGACGAACTAATCTGCACAGATCGAAAGTATAAGGAACGCCAGATGCTCCTCGTCATGCACTATAAACTGGTAGGTAACTGCTTATTCATCCTTACCGATCATTAGTACGATAATCTGATTATTGTAGGAACTGAAGAAACAATGCCAATCCCACGAGGATCTAAGGAACTGCACTTGCCTCATGCATCACATCTTGCCCAGGACGCACATACCGCTCTATACGGTCAACTGTTCTCATCTGCAGTTCCACCGCTTGCCAGCCTTTTTGCCGGATAACACCACCACTTTAGTTATCAACGATAATATGGTAAGATTTATAATGTGCTCAATGGAACCTAACTCACTAGATTTGTTAACAGATCAGTGACATAAATCCGCTGCGGGACAATCCCCACTACCGTCACGTTGTGGATATGCAGCTGGAGAACAATCAAATATCCAATGTGGACAACTTGGAGGACACCTACTGGCTGCAGAACTTCCGCCTGCTCAACCTGCGGGGCAACAATCTCCGCAAGCTCCATGTCTACGCCTTGGACAACGCTCTGGATGACAACGAGAATGCCAATCTGCTATTGCTGAGCCGAAATCCGTGGCACTGCACCTGCAAGTTTGGCAGCAGAATGCGAGAGCTGTTGACCAAGTACAAGGATATCGTGCGGGATGCCTGGAATGTGAGCTGCACCTACCGCCTTGATGATGACCAGCTGCTGGCCAAAGTGCTGACCCTCAGTCGGCAGGAGATGTGCAATTTAAGCGTGGAGGGCGACACTCAGATCCACCCCATTGATTGGCTGAACGGGGTTCTGGCCAGCCTCATATTCCTCATCCTGGGCAAGCTTGCCTACGATTACTACTATTACAAGTATTACAGTCGAGTTCCTTGGATTGTGATGAAAATGCCTTAGTCGATAGTATTTCTCAACCAGAGACAACGGTTTTCGGTTTATTCTTGAAAATCTACAAAAACAATAGCGGTCTTTGTATCATATATGAATATTTATATATAAATAATGTTGTTTAGTTATTTATGTATGTATATTTAAGCTAGGTCAACGCAAAACTCTCAAAATAGTTGTTTTTCCACACTATTGCACTTTTTAAAATGTTTTGTTTGGTAAAAACATTCGTTCTCACGTTCCTACACATTTGACGGTTGATTTTAGCATTTAACCTGCATTTAAATTGGCACAAAGCGCTTAATTTGTAATAATGAGAAACAGCTAAGATAAGTTTATGTTTGCATCTGGACAGAACGGAATCTGTGTGAATTTTAAGTTAGTTGCACATTATTCCATTTAAATGAATCTAATTTTGTATCATGTATATATACAATTAAAACCCTCGATTTAATTTCTTTGGCTTTCAAAATCAGTGCAAAATGTCGCATCTTTTCGGTCAAAGCAAATGCAAACTGTTTAAAATAATTGTATAGGGTACAAGCTTATAAATTAAACAACAGTGCTGGACATTGTAAACAAATCTTAAAACATTTTTGTACTTTACATCAATCAAGTGAAAGATTAAACGAGGCTTAATAATTCGCTGGCTGGAAGCGGCATTTCTAAAATTCTTTTGGTTTCCTTCGTGAGTCTATTGAATGGCGGTTAAAAAGGTCGTCAATGTGTCTTATAAATTTGTTGTATAAAAAGTCGAAGTAAAATTTAGATCCTTTAAAATTGAGTTCCCTTGGTTTGCATTGTATATGATATGGAATCATTATCTAACCACTATACAAAACTAAAGACTCACGAAGGAATCAGCCAGAGATCGCAAATTAAATAACTGTGGATGGCATAAAGTTGGCTATTCTTCGGGGACCCAGTCTACCTGGTGTCCTCGCGTAAACTATGTTTTTGGCTAAGCATGCGAGTATTCAATATGTTTATAAGATACGATCCTACGATCCACTGTACAGCCTAGAACAGCATGTAGGAATGATCACGTTCCAGTCGCGACTTGGCGCGGGATTGTATATTGCCTATTGGATCCGAAGGCGGTGGTATGCCATTGATCTGATGGGTAGGCTCCTTGTAGAAGAACTCAGTCCTTCCATTCTTGTGGCCATAATAAACGGAGTCGTGGGATCTAAAAATGTTTCAAACTTAATAAAACCATTCACAGAATGTGTATGACAGTTGATACATACCTTAAGATCAAATCAGTAAGATGATGACCACTGGAATGTATTGAGTGCATGCTTTCAATTATGTTAAGCTCTAGGGGATTCCAAGGGCCATTCCGCTGCAGAACATCCCACTTGGAGTCGACGCACATGAAGCTATAGTTGCTGCCGTCGCGGTTGTCACCCTCTACATTTACGTTTAAGGTCTGGTTTAGTTGAGATTCCATGTGCGGAAACTTGGCCACGCATATGTCGAACTAGTTGGATGAAGTATGATAAATTATTAACTGAATTCGTTCACGACAAAAAATCTATCAACTTACCATCTTCTGTACAACTGGTTGTTGTTGACAAGTACCATCCTCCATTAGCAATAACAAGGTCATATTCTGCTGACCACAAATGTAGAGTTCAGTTCTCTGCAAGCCATCAGGTTGAATTGGACCCGGAGGTTGAGCAGGAGCAGTGGACAAAGCCGCCAATGCATCCACTGCATCCTCGCACTTCAGTGAACTTCGCCGTGGGAAAACCTTACTGGTTGTAAGCGGAGTTTGTATCTCGATGGGCGTAGTTTCGCTTAGAGCCAGAACAGATAGTTTGGCCATCAGCGGTGTTAGTGGTACGCCACCAGCTCCACTGCGTCCGGACGCACGCTCTCCGAAAGTAGATTCGCCAGCTGATTTCAATGGCAGAGTCATGGATCGCTTGTCCAGCGGAGTTTTGGCTGCGGAAACGTTGAGATTCCTATCGGCGGACGATGCTTCCGCTGCTTGCTGTCTCATGTGCTCGTCGAGCTTTTGGATCTCGGCGTTGAACTCCTGGAACTCGGCTACCAGAGCGGCAAGTTCAGCATCTTCGTGCGCCTGCTCACTAGCCGCACCCCACAATTTGCGGTACTGATCAAGAAACTGCTGGAACAAACTGCGCGAGATCTGCTGGCCGTTAGTGTTAAATACTGGATAGGTGGGATCGCTGATGGTCCGGGAAGTAATCTTCTCATCGTCCTCTATGAAATCCGGCGAACCCGAAGAGGCATCGCCATTAGCGCTTCCATTTCGGTTCACATCGGGCTTGAGGCCATGTGTAAAGTTATTCAATTTCTTTGAGATGGCGCGAAGCGCATCCTGGAGGTCTGCAGAGGATTTGCGTCGGGTCAACTGTTTGTTTGGATTGCTAATGAAGTTCTGGAAGAATTTCTCTACATCCAGTTTCAGAGAATTTCGACGCGAATGTGTTTTGCCATTAGAATTGTGAATATCCTCTTCTTTGCCCTCATCTTCTGGATTTGCGCAAATGGACATTACATTGGCCACCGGCAGAACCTTGTTCTCGGTCATTGGAGTATTGCAAACGCTGGTTCGTCCAATGAACTGCGGATAGGAATCGGTTTCGTCGAAATTTATTGATGCAATGCCAGACTCCGGCAGCTCTTTACTCTGCATGCTTTTTATACGCAACGGCAGGTGGGTGGGTCGCATAGATTTGGGTCTGGCTGGTGGCAGTTCAACTGCTCCCGCCTGCTCTGGGGCGTGCTCCTCCTCGGGTATATGAGTAAAAATGAGCGACTTGTCCCGCTTCATCTTACGCTTGGCATACTGAAACGGCATCCCATTTTGGGTGAGCTGAGCCGTGTTCATCTGTAGGTTCTGAGCACGCTGTGCTTCGCCAGCTAACTGACGGTACTGCATTCGCTCCAAATAAACCACCAGCATCTGAACGCCGTTGGGTATGTGGAACTCAGGATAGTTGGTCACTGGCTCGGCCGCTGTGCGAATGTGGAGTGGATCAGTGAGCACAAGGTGCTTGGTCACCATATCGCTTAGTTGGGAGGCCACCACCCTAAAAGATTCGTGTTAATAAATTGGTCAGACTTTCTGGATTTACCTACTTGTTGTGGTACAGAATCGCTCCGCCAAGTACTCCCTTTGTTTGCTGGCAACTTTGCAAGGTTTGAATAGCCTCCAGGAATATATGACTGGCCGTCTGGAAAAGAATCACGGTTATCTAGGTCCTCGCTTTGTTCTTCTAACCACTCACCTTTGGCATTCGTAGCCTCGGCACATTTTGAAATGTATTTCCGTTGCGTTGCAGCATCGGCAGATATGTTTCAAAGATGTGGTACAGTTTCTCGCTGAGATTCCGGCGGTTTAGGGCGGGCGGAGCAGCATACTGAGCATACAAAGTCTGCACATCACGGTGGAAAAACTTGAGCAGGGAACTCAGGAGATCAGCGCGATGTTCCAGCAGTTGGTCGCCAATATTTCGATCAGTGCCAATTGCCTGAGGAACATAATACTCGATCGAATGAATACAAGAAAATGGAATTACTTGAGTAATTTTACCAGAATGAAACGACCGAATTCCTTCAGCACAAACTTGCCATTCTGCAGGGCCAGGATGCGGGGATTAAAAAAGCAATCCTTGAGGAAGTACGAGGTGCCCATGAGCTGACCACACAAAGCCACCTTCTGGGAGTCGGACACCCAGCTTGGGTGGAAGTACAGCACCGCCGATATGGGATCATCCGCCTCGTCCGTGAGACACTCTGTGTCGTAGACAAACACTATCATCGTCTCCCTGTAAATACGACAGAGTTAGAACAGAAGGGTTATTGTAATTCAGACTTTGAGGCAAGGAAATATGTATATTTCAAATGCTGAGAGAAAAGCTTCGGAGCAATTACGCTCGTACTCAAAGTGCCAACTATTTTCCCTGCTAAAATATGAGCTGTATCTTGAAACTTGTTCAAGAATTCATACAACAAGTGCTTTAGAAAAACCGGTATGCACGTAAACACTACAAATACAATCAATGCTCAACGTTTTCGCTAACAGTTAAATGTAAATTGGGTTTTATGCAATCTCCATTTGTTTGGCATTGTCTAAGGCAACTCATGTGGAAACACAGTTTAGGGATGAAGTAAGCAACCTCTCGGGGAGGATCAAGGCCTGCTGCTTCTGCTGAACCTTCTGCCATCGCTTGTGCCTGGTTCTGCGCCAGTCCCGAAACATTGTTGCTGAAATCTAGTGGATTTCGGTGCTTCCAAGTCTAGCGTTGCATCGTGGCTCCTTATCACACTTAACGACCGACGTTTCTGATAAGTCAACAAGCCAATAGCTCCGCGCAATGCCAACTGTCTGATTCCGATGTGGCCCAGCTGCCTGATACGACCAACCGTGATACGAGAGCGTGATCAGAATTCCGCTCACGCCTAGGTGAACCAGCAGGTGAGAAGTGAGGTGAAAGCTTCCGAGTGTTTCCATCATTGCGGTTGAGCGGGTGTACGAGCAGTAATGTATTCATCGAAGTGGTGACCGCTTCAATGACGAAGGTATCGATTCCAGTTTAAGAGGGTAACGAATTTGACTATGCCTTCTACAATATGTTACGGATTATAAAAAGCTTTGGGATATTTACGTTTTATACATTGACATATACACGTTAAAATCGAGCAGTATTATACAAGAAGATAGTCAGATTTTATAGAAGTTAAACATAATCAAAGACCTTGTCTGTTTTATTGCGCGTTATAAAAAGTTTATTTGGACCATCAACATCAATTTTATCCAGCTGCAGTTTTTAACACAATCGGTTGTAATTGCTGAGCCGGGGTCAAATAAGATTGTCTAGATAGGCTATACTTGGCGACATATCCATTGGGACCAGCTTCGTAGGTGACCAGCAGGTTTATGGATCCGGGAAAACGCTGGAAAAAAGTGCCCTTAACTTGAAGCAGATCTGGAGCAATCTGTTCAACAATCTCATCCCGCGTCGAGCCATCGAGGTCAATCCTACAATACGAAAGCCACTTGCTTGTGTTTACTGAATTATCTTTACTTCACTACTTGTTTACCTCAGGGAATACTTTTTCTCAGATGGCACCAGCACAACTCCATTATCGTTAATGGGCGGCACGAACTTGGTAACTGAAGTTGTGGGTGACGAATTCACCAGACTCAGAAACAGAACCAAAAACACCTGTAGCAAATATTATACAACGATGGGCAGGAAAACTTTTGAGACGAACTTACTGAGCTTAACATAAAGTGCGCCATGATGATCTTTTGCCTGTTGGTTAGCGACTGCTGTTCCTAGATAACTCACAGCTAGCAAATAAACTCTTACTTAAAGCACGTCTAAAACTGGAATCATCAGTAAACACATTCAAAAATCGTTCTCTGCTTATAATATATATTATAATAGAAAAATAATGCGCGTTTTGAATACTGTCAATAATGGTTTACATAACAATAAAACTTCCCACGGTGAATCATTGTCCAGGAAACAAAGTCACCCAATAAGATTTTAAATCAGGGTCTAAACAATTAACGATAAGAGCAACCAAAATAGGAATATTAATTTCTTAAAAGCTTTCTTAAACAGGCGTAATCTAAAGCCAATTTATTGATTTCTATTAACATGTATGTGACGATTACTATTTGATTACTGTTAATAAATACGGAGATGACTAAAAATATAAATTACGGCAAGTTGTGGCTTTAATCTCTCGTTAATATCAATACTAAGCTTTATCCAGCTGTTGTTTTTAGAGCAGTGGGACTGAGGAATAGTGGGGTGTCCGGAGGCAGCGTTGGAGGTTTTTTTCCGTAGCTGTATTTCGCGACATATCCATTCGGACCAGCCGCGTAGGTGACAATAAGATTGGCGCCCTGATCCTCGAAAGGCTGGTTAATCACACCTTTGACTTGCAGGTGTCCGGCTTCATTCTGGCTCACGGATTCCTGGCGAATAGTGCCACCCGGATGTTCGATTCTACAGATGCAAAACTATCTAATTAAAGGGTCGCTGTCTCTGGACTTTCATTAGCTACCTGAGGAAGTATTCTTGATTGAGGGGCTCGAGTTGGAAGCCATTAGTGCGGATTTGCGGAACGATAGTTGGGGAAGTTTGCGGTGCGGCATTGGCCAAAGAGAAGATGAGAATCGCCAACAGCTAGATATTAACATGATTCCAAAAATGTATGGTTTAACTTTGATTTGCTTACATATGCTACTACACTACCTACCGCGCAAAAATCGCGAGACATGATGACCTGTCTGCGGTTGAATAAAAACTATCTGATCATCCAAACGTTTGGTCAGTTTTGAGCCCAAAACGAAGGCTGGTTGATTTAAGTAGCAAACGAGTTTTGATTTGTATGATGAAGATACAAAAAAATCACATTTCTGCTTCACGAGAAACACCTACTAATTCAAATAATTGCAGAATTCCCATCTTATATGGCAATTGAAAAAGGGACACAATAAAATAATTAAGACTCATCTAGCAAAACCATTCGGTAGCCTTCACTGCGACAATTAACTTGGTTCAAATGAATCTCCACACGTCATGTCCAATGCAAAATCATATAGTCATGATGAACTTGCGCTCCATTAACCACCTGGCCCATGAAAACTTCTTGGGGAGTTCCCAACCCAAATTTTAACTCTTTCTACGTGAGATTCTTACAGTTCTAAAAAGTATACTTTAGAATATGACGAATAGGGCTTTGACCTTTAAGACATCGCTCATTTCGGATTTGTAAAAAAATGTTTTTCAAATATTATAAAGTATAAATACATAAAAATATATGAACTTTTTAAATGAATATAAAAATGGTTTATTGTTTTTCCTCATCGTAATAACTTAAATTTTTGTTAGAAAATGTTCACAGGAAATCTTTTTATATTAAAATATAAACACAAACTTTTTCATTATACATATGTTGTGTATTGTTGTGTATTCATAACATATTTATAAATAAGCAATGTTTATTTAAGACTTTTCTTGATATAACATTACAATAAAGTCCGATACCGGTTTTTGACGATACGACTTAAGAATTGGTTTAATTGGAGACTCATGCATCCTTTGAAAATTATTATTGAGCTGAACTTAATAATCAAATTTCATTTTACCGGTTACCAGTCTTATGAACTTTGACATTTTATCAATTTCTCCGCTCGGAATCGATACATATCTCACTCTTCTTCTCCCTCCTCCTCTTCCCACTTCCTGTGTATGTGAATGCAAATTGAATGGGAGAGGGGAAGGTGGGTGGATGCGAGGGCGGAGGCTGCAGCTCAAAACAAACACAAAAATACCCCCACATACACAGCGCGCCGCCCACACACACACTCTCGCAGACGCAGGCACATAAGCGATTTAATGTTTTTGCACTCTTTCTTAACCTTATCTATTTCACTTACTTTGCAGCCATGGTGTATTGCACTTGTAATCTCCTCGTTGTCGGAAGATTATTGCACTTTATTTCTGCTTCATTTTATTCATTAGTATTTATTTTTCTTTGCCCAGGAACTTACGGCACTGCCATACCTAGATGTTACTAAAAAACACCGTACTGCATTGCTGTGCTACTCCTTAATACCAGATTCTGTTTGGTATATTTGCGTGGTATATTTTACGAGGCCCGCTGCGGTCACTTTTAAAATGGCCGTCGATCAGTGAAGTTGTATACACTTTTTTCGTGTTCCGTGTTTTTCGCTTAATTTGATCGTTTATTTAAATGTTTTTATGAATTTTGGTGAGTTGAAAAGCTAATCGAAAGCAGCCTGCTAGCAAAGGATACGATCGAAAAGGATTTTGTGCAAACTTTAAGTGGCCGAAACAGTGTTATTTTCCCCAAAGACAACCCCCGCATAGCGTCTCTTGCCTCCAGGCAACAACAACACACCCAAAAGAGACGCACTGGAAGCATAAAAAGCAACAAACAGGTTTTCATTGTGTACAGACGTGTGTTGCGCTTCCCTCTCGCTCTCGCCCCCTTAATTTATGCGCGTGCAGCAGCAGCAACAAAACCAACAACATGTATAAAGCAACATAAGAAACAAGTAATACAAGAAAATAAATCATTGAGTGTGAGTGTGTGCGTGCATGTTGGCTGTAAACAGCAGCCAAAGTGGTAAAGTAAAGTCGAGTCGCAAAGAGAAGCGGATAATAAGTGGAAAAAGAAGCTGAAGCAAAAGAGTTAGCCAGCTTAGAAGTGACGCGTAGCTACAGGTGAATATATCGGACTTGTTTTTCATGCGCGAGACAGGCGGTGGTCGCTGGTGGCTGGTCTGTAGAACTGTAAAACGGGTTCTGATGTCCAAAAAGAAGTAGAATCGAATCGATTAGCAGCCTAATCAATTTACCACTGAGTCGCAACGGTAAACGGCAAATGGAAGTTGCATTTACATACAGATGTATGCACAAGCTCCAGCCCGTGTTCCCAATTTCCAAAGTGCGTTTTCCCCCCTTCAAGTGGCCAAAACTGGAACGCGTCCCACTTAACCCCACAGCAGCGCAGGCTGTCCAAATTAACCCTCGTGAACAACTCCCACATTTGCGGCTTTTGTGTTTTGTGAATGAAAACTTAAAAAGGAAAAACTAAAAACTTGTCGCGCCATAATTACGCCTCTCCAAAAAATAAAAAAAAAAAACTATTTAGCTGAATCATCTAAATATAAAGTAAACTGGTTCGTCTGCATGATTCACCGAACATCGGAAGTCCAGTGATAAACCCATCCTACAGACCATGTCTGTTTCGTTTTTTGTTTGATAAGTTGAAAATAAGAAAAGCAGAACAGTGCAATGAACCTCCGGCGATAGCGGTTAAAGAAAAGAAAACCAACTCCACAATTGATAATTATTCATTAAAAATACATATATGTGTATACATATGCACAGTGTCATTACATCAGAGCAGAGTCCAAGCTCCACTTAATCTGGCAGCCAGTCGGGCTCCAAAAGGCAACATCCACTACACGCCACTCGAATCCACCTGTTGCCACTCCGTTCGGCTTAATGAAAACGCCCACGGACACAAAGTTGTTGTACAGTGAGCATTCTTCAAGTAAGAAACCCCTATTAGAAACCTCAAGTGGACTTCATGAAGACAACGGAAGTCTTATTGTATGTATGTTTTGTTAGGAAATTCTTTGTTACGGAATTATAAACATTTGCATATATAAACAATACATGTAATACATAAGATCCCTAAAGAAACTTTAAGTTTAATGTATATAATGCCATTTAAACTGCCCATTATCTTTAAAATCAGTTAAACCCAGTTTGGGACTGACTTGCTCCACAAACTGCTTTCCCACGTCCTGATAAGTAATACCTTAACCATTACAACGTTATAGTTAATATAATTGGCATATTAAGACTTATCAATTTAGGGGAATGATTTTAGTGTTATATTTATGATGGTCTTTAAGAAAATGATTATTAATTATTATCCACGATATAGTTCCAATTTGTAATACGGCATTACCAGACATATTTTTACATATCGTTTTACTGCCGGCGTAGTAGAGGCTGTATTTCTACTCAGCGGGGTTTCACTGTTTCATACGGTTTCTAGCGTTGGCGGACGATTGTAAGCGTTGCATATCTAATAACTACACGCTGAAATCAATTTTGTATTGATCACGTCTGTAGTAAGTAACCCTGCCAGTTCATAGATGTTTATTCTTTCATTCGAAAAAACGTATCTCGATTTAACACGTTTTTGTCGGGCTTCCCACACGCAGGCAAAAGAAAAAAAAGGGCGATAGAAAAAGGGAGCGGCAACAAGTGTCAAACGTGACATACTTTTCAGCTTTATCTTGATGAGGCTGTTATCTCGCAACTCTTCGGAACCAATGCTTATCAGCAGGGAGGTGGTCGGACGTGCCACCCAACTATCCCAAAAAATATGAATAGAGTGGCACACATTCGTAACTTGATCTCGAATTCGAGCTCATTAATTTAGCGCCAGACGGTCAGTTTTTTGGGCTAGCATAATTGTATCTGTATTTTTATGGGCTGCCAGAAGCGGAACGGACTTCCTGGCATTGAACCCGAGTGTGTGGCTTGTGAAATATGAGAACGCCACTAAAAAATGAATGAAAACTTACGAAAACGCCGGTTCAATGTGGGGCCACCTCGATAAGCGAATACCCTTTGTAGCAATAATATAAATAAGTTCAAATATATATACGTAATTAAGAATCTATCTTGGCCAGTCGTTATATATCTACACCACTAAGACCTTTCTAACTACACCAAAAAGAACCAAGCTGCTGGGATCTAGGTGCCCTAGAAAAGGTGTTAATTAGCTGTCTAGATGCCTAGATGACTGATTATTTCTGTAAGTGACTCCACTGGCTACAACTAAAAGAAGAAGTACCCAAAGTGGCGGTCGGTACCATTCGCTGATTTCTCCGCTCACTAAGTCGCAAAGTGGAGTGATAAATTGTGCCGCTGAAGAGGGTATTCAAATGTAATTTATAATATTTATTATGCACTTTTATGGCATTTCTCATACGTGTTCTTGAGGCCAACCCCCATAATTTCAGGGCATTAAAGCGGCCAAGAGATGGGCCACAGGTCACTTGACCTGTGACTTAAAACTCTGGCGGCTGAGCCGTGAAAAAACCTTCGCTTAGGAAAATGAAAGACGAACACGATACCCACCACCACGAATCAACCGAATTCATTGAGCGAAACACAACAAGTAGTTGCCACCGACCTTCAATTGGCCAATAAAGCCATTTATCGGAGATCCCAGCCAAACCGATCCGATTCGTCGTCAGGTAAAAGTTGTCCATGTGTAACCCACCGACTTTTGGGTGCGTGAGAAACTATAACATTCGAGTGTGCGTCTTGAGAAAAAAACAAAAAAAAAAAAATAAAAACCAACTGAAAACCTGAAAACCCGCATGGAAATTACGTGTGTGTGTGAATGAGGAAAACACACCTATCTGCCCGAATGTCCGGTGTTCGCCGCGGGGAAAGAGAGGGAAAAGTAGTCAGTTGTAGAGCGTCAGCGGCACGTCCTGAAAATCGTAGTTCAGCGCTGATTAGGAGGGAAATTGGCGGAAAATACCGCACGTGATTCCCAACAAAAGCAGGAAAACCAGGCTGGCGGCATGAGTCATGCTCGGAAAACACGACATGTCAGCCAGGACGCGGAATATTGGATTGGGAACTGTACAGTAAGGCTTCGCTTGCAGGAACTATTAGTTGTCCTTTTACTCTTTCTTAATATAAACTAATTACAATTGCAACTATATCTATAAACTATTTTTCCAGTTAACAGTTTCTTGTATTTTATTAACAACAATCCTTGCAGTAGACCAAAAACATATTGAAAACATCTGCATAAATGGAAAACAGGAAATCTGCCTCTTTGAACAAGTTTTTTAAATAATGATAGGTCAGCCTCTATATTTTGTAAATTAAAAATAATATAAAATTATAAATGAATGAAATATGAAATAATAATCACATGAAATTATCACATACGACTGAAACATAGAAAACGCATAATTGTTTTATAAATGAATTCATTTGAATGACTTTTTGAGTAAGTTGAGAGATACCCAGTACTCATAGTTTAAACATTGTTCATCATGGGTTTTTCCGACGCTCTTTTGAACGTTTGAACGTGTTCCACATAGGGAGGTTTGGCTGTATCAGAAAGGCAAACGGAGAGGGATATAGCAGGAGGGAGGAAGAGGGACAACCACAAGTGCTGCTCAAACTGCTCGCCAGTTGCTCTCAAAGCGTGGGCGGTTGCCCTACGTTGTTTGCTTTTCGCAGTTCATGCTCATTTCGGTGTTCAGTGCTCATTGAGTCTAGCCCACGTTCGGTTCGCGGTCCGCTGCTCAAACTGATGATAGTAAAAACAGCCGAAAAGACAAGAGACAAAACAAAAAACACAACTAAGCCGGAAAGAAACTGGCGAGAAGAAAGTGTGCAGAATTCACAAGTAGCCGTTATATAAGTGGATTTAATTATCTGATTCGGTAATAAAAGCAGATTCAACACAATGTGGAAACCCAAATGAGAAATAAACAAATTTATGGCGGACATAAGCAAAATTTTTATGCGTTTCAAATCAAACACGATTGCTGTCTACGTGCTCTTTGGCCAACTTACATATTGTTTCGGTTTTTATTAGTCAAAAGTTCACTGATTATGCGCTTGAAAAATGATATTGCATTCGCCGCGGCCCACTGAAAAAATTCTAATAATTTTCTAACACACTTTTTGCCATCGTCTTCAATTGCAGGTTTTGCGTTTTCCTTTTTGCCACCAGCTAATTGCATTAAAATAAAACCAACAAGTGTTCTGCTGGGCGTAAATTATTGTGTCGCTGTCGCTGACACTGGAATACTTATAGCCAGATGCTGAAGCAGCAGCAAGAGTAACCGCAACAGCAGCAACGACAATAACACCAGTAATCAGCACAACTATCGGCGACAATGGCAGACATCGGACATCAGAATGCGAGGCGTCAGTGATTAAAGGCAGTCGGAGAGGCCAGCCAGCCATCCAACCAGCAAGCTAGGCAGGCAGCCCCATTGGCACCACCAGCAAAAAGCAGCTGAATCATCAGAACTCGTAGGAGCGGAGCAGTGGAGTACTAGAATCGCGCATCTACTACGAGACAGCAGAATGCGCTCCAAGAGCAGACCTTCATCGGCGGCGATGTTAATTAATTCGATACCTATGATACTGCTGATCACCTTATCCGGCTTGACGATCGTGGCAGGTTGGATGCCCGACGTGCGGCCTGATTTGCAAACGAGTATGTGCCATTGGCTTCTTCTTCTCCAAACTAACTATCTAACTATGTATTTGTTTATTTGTGTCATTGGTTTGCTTTTTGCTTTCCACTCTTGTTGTTGCTGGTTTATCAATGGCAAATGCCAAGCTGTTTAAGCTTAGCTCTGATTTTCCAAGCTGCTTATCAGGCGGAATTTTCGCAATGCCAGCACCAACAAACTACCATTTCCTCTGAAGCAAGTTAAACAGAAATCAAAATGAAACTGTGCAAAATCTCGAAAACACGAGTAAACGCACAAGTTATATAACACAGCCTTCAATAACATTTCATTTTGCTTCTTTCTTTCTTTTCAGAACAAGACAAAGTATTAGCCCATTTTATAGGCAACTCGACGGACTATTTCAAGATTTTGGACCACAACGATGAATTTGTTCTAGTTGGTGCCAAGTGAGTGAATTTCTTTTATATTTACGACCCATTCGATCCCTTGATTTCTGGCAAACAATAAAAAAGTACCCGCTACTGAGCTACCTGTGCGCAAATAAACTTGGCACGAACACGTTTAAATATTTATAAAAACACAATTATACAGCGTTCGATTCGCGGAATAATCAGCGCGCCATTTGGCATTACTCTACCGATTTATTGGCTGCTTGATTTGCTTTTCGATTTTCATTAGTTGCAAGTGCAAATCCAGCATTTCTCATTTCCTTTCCGGGAAGTCGAAGTGATTTGTCGTTTGCCAGATACAAATGTCTGGAATAAATACCACTTGCTCAGCTTCATCCATATAATTATATTGCTCATGTGCAGTCAGGCAAGTAAGTCAGACGCAATTTTTATCACTTTATCACTACAAGGGCTATTTATGAATAAAAATATATATTTTCAAATAAAATACGTCAAATTTTAGATAGTGTTCTGTGACTAAACATTTTATAATTACCCATTGACTTTATTTACATGAGAGTTGCCCGAACTACCATTTGAGTGACTAATGGTCAGTAAACGGCGATCTGAAATGGACCGACAAATGCAAACCAGCTCTCGATCTATCATAATTTTCCGCACCCCAGACTTGCTGGTGCCATAAAGAACATAGCAACAAATTAGCAGCAACAATAATTAGCCACTTAAAACACAGAATTATACAATTGTGTACAAGTTCTAATTATTTGCACACTGGCAACCTTGGGATATGATTGTCGACGGGGCGTAAAAACAGATGCGGTCAAAATAATAGCAGTGTGGTCTTGAAAAAGCTTTAATGCAACATGAAGAAATAATAAAACCCTGGGCTGTCGCTAATGAAAAACGTGTTATTTATTAATTGTAAAATTTGCTTAGAGTGTTTACCGAAAGTGTTAAGCGTTGTCAGAATAGCTTTAGCTATGGCAAATGTTGAAATGGCACATATTAATCTTAAAATATTAACTTCAAATTGTTAATACACATATCAACAGTTCTTATTCAAAACTATTATTTTAGCCGACACTGTTCAGGCAAACATTTGTATGCTCCTGGCACGAAGCTCTCAGCTCACGGTTTTTTTGTGGTTTATTTTTGGTCACCGTACTTGGCTGGCTTCCATTTCACATTCTGTGCAGGCACACGCCATCGGCGAATTAATTCCCGCATTTGTTAATTCAATTGTTCTCTATCTCGATTTGCAGGGACGTCATCTACAATGTGAGCCTAAATGGCCTGAAGGAGATTGCGCGTCTGGAGTGGCACAGCACGGATGCGGACCGGGAGCTGTGTGCCCTAAAGGGGAAGCACGAGTGGGATTGCCATAACTACCTTCGCGTCTATGCACTGCGTCCCAATGGCGAGGTGCTGCTCTGCGGCACCAATTCGTATAAGCCGCGCTGTCGTCATTACACGCCGGTGGAAGTGTCATCCGAGGAGGCCGGCTCTGCTGGTCACGCCCACGCCATGCGATACGAAGTCAGCCGAGACGTGGAGGCCCAGGGCTTGTGCCCCTACAGCCCCGCCCACAACAGCACGTACGCCTTCGCGAACGGCCACTTGTACAGCGCCACCGTGGCGGACTTTTCGGGTGGAGATCCCCTTATCTACAGGGAGAACCTGCGTACCGAACAATATGATCTCAAGCAACTCAACCAGCCGGACTTTGTTGGTGCCATCGAGAGAAACGGTTTCGTGCTGTTCTTCTTCCGCGAACTATCCATGGAGTTCATGAACTTTGGCAAGGCCGTCTATTCGCGGGTCGCCAGGGTTTGCAAGAACGATAGAGGCGGGCCCTACAGCCACGGCAAGAGCTGGACTTCTTTCCTTAAAGCGCGCCTCAACTGCTCGGTGCCCGGCGAGTTTCCCTTCTATTTCGACGAAATCCGTAAGTTTTAATAGAGATCTTTTAGTAATAGTAATCTTAATTTTCATCAACACCATTACAGAGGCCATTAGTCCGATTGTGGAAAGCGGATCCAAGTCGCTGATTTATGCAGTCTTCACCACCTCTGTGAACGCTATTCCCGGCTCGGCCGTATGTGCCTTCAACGTCGATGACATACTGGCTGCCTTTGATGGAGAGTTCAAGTCGCAGAAGGATTCACAGTCCCAATGGCTGCCAGTGGAGCGTGAGCAGGTGCCGAAACCACGCCCAGGCCAGTGTGTAGAGGACTCCAGAACTTTGACCAGCATAGCGGTTAATTTCATTAAGAACCATCCGTTGATGGAGGACGCTGTGCCGGCAGTGCACGGTCGTCCGTTGCTGACCAAGGTGAATCTGCACCATCGACTCACTGCGATCGCAGTGCATCCGCAGGTAAAGTCCCTAAGTGGTGCTTACTACGATGTTATATACAGTGGCACCGACGACGGCAAGGTGACCAAGTTCATCAATATACTGAGCACCCACCCGAACTCAACTGATCGCCTGAAGACAGTGGTTATATCAGAGATGCAGGTTCTTCCACTTGGAACGCCAATTAGGGAGTTGGTGATCTCCACGTCGAAGAACTCGTTGGTAGTGGTTAGCGATGGCAGCTTGGTTAGCGTGCCCCTCCACCACTGCTCTCATATTGTGGACTGTCTGGGCTGTCTGAGTCTCCAGGATCCCATTTGCGCCTGGGACTTACAGACACACGAATGCAAGAACCTGGCTACGAGCCAACACAAGTTCGGAACAAAGACTTATCTGCAAAGCCTTAACAGCACCAAGAAAGCTGCTGCATTGCTATGTCCTCACATTCCCCGAGATGGACCTGGTGCGGAGACAGTGAGCTTTGTTACCATGGCTCCACCGCCAACGGAGGAGCAGAAACTTTTGTACTCCAATGTGGGCGCTTCGCAGGGCAGTCAACCAAACTTGGAACAACAGCCAACTGGTGGCGATGACTTTGGGTTGAACAAGATCACCCTTACGTCGATGGATCCCGACGATATTATGCCCAATTTAAACGGTTAGTACTCTTACTTATTGTTCTAAGAATATTGTGGTTTATTAAACGCTATTAATTCGACAGATCCGCAGAAATCTACAGCCAGTGTAGATGAAATCAAACATGCTTCATCTCCCAGCTTCATGCTACTTACAGTTGTCGTTTTCATTACCTTCCTTATTGGGGGCAGCGCAGGAATATTCTGTGTGAAGGCTAAGAGTCGCCTGATGGAGGCCCAAATGGATGAAAGCCACCGCAATCATTTCAGCAAGCCAATGTAAGTTTATCTTGTAAAATAGATTTCCGGTTAGGTCAATTCTAATTAAATAGTTCCAACAGGCAATTTAAACATCAAAATACTGGCAAAGATATCAATCTGTTGATGGGCTCCAATGCCTACACTACCACACAAAAAACACCTAATTTGGATTTAGAAAAGGATCGCAGTCATGAGTGCAAAAACTCCACGGAACATTTGGAAAAAGAGTTGCCTTGCAAAACGTCAACACTGACGAAAGTGAAGCGCACTTACATCTAGTGGGCTTGCAATGGCAGCCAACTGCAAAATTAGTCGAATTTCTATACTCTAAAACATATTTTCGTTGTTTATGTTGCTGTTAGTTATAGTAACCCCCCACCCAATCCGCAAGTAATGTAAACGACAGTGTCGGATGCGTTTGAAACGCATCCGAAAGATAGGGAGCAAAAGCTGTTGCATCTTTTTTACTTAGCTTGTATTGTAATTTAGTTTGATGTAAAATTTGAGTAAGCTTAGTTTCTTTGGCAAAATTTAGTTAAATTTATTGACAACGTAGTGTGCGGGCTGCCACAACCTGAGCTAACTGAAGCATTCCGCATTCCCCTGACGTCGACCTTTGCTGTCCAAAATAGGAGTGCCTGCTCTTGGCTACGCAGCCCGAAGGTGTCGCCCCTTATGTGTACTCTTAATGTGTAATCTATAAGTGCAAATATTAGAGCTGTACAAATTTACTCACATATCGAAATCAAACCCGAACAGGAGCAGCCCGAATTATTTCTCGAAATTCAATTGAATATTCAACAAGTATTTTGTTAGACTGAATGATTCATTTTTCTATATGAGTTTTTTTGTGGAGAACTAACAGAATGCGACATAGACTTTAAAGCTCTATGCTTTGTGGCTAACAAAAGCGTAAAATTGTATCTAACATAAGCTCAATAAGGAATTGAACGTAGAATGTAATTAAAAGTACGAACTAGGCTAAGGAAAAAACAAAACTTTTATGAGGCTGTTTGATATGAACTGACACCGCAGCCCCCACATCATCATGATGAAAATACGCACAAGAAAGCAAAAAATAAATGAACACACTGCAACAACAGCAAGCCTTATAAATAGTATAATATCGTGTCGAATCTAGGCCTTAACGCTAATCTTGTAAGCTTTGCATGAAAATATTGAGCTTGGCAATGAACGTAAATCAGCATTTTAATAATTTTATGTTTACTTTTAAGCTGTTGTCCGTCCCACTAAAGAAGTTGCATAATACAATGTACAATGGCAATTATATTTTTAAAACGTGTAAAATGCAATTTTCATCGTAATTAATATATTTTTATACGTATGTCTACGCTAATGTCGAAACTTTAACATAAGAAGGTCTTAATAATGGAAAATACCGAAAAAAGCTATACATATAATATTTTTATATCTTACAAAAAAAAAGGTAATAATGATAAATTTCTCATATTGTGATAGATTTTATTGAAATTTTAGAAAGATGAAATGATATGCCTTTTGGTTGAAAAACAATGATATATATGACGAAAGAGTCTGATTGCATGCATGATAATATTGTGTAGGAAAGGGTCTTCCGCTTGGAGGATCAAGAACCAGAGAACCCACCATGGTGTTTAGTTTTTATTACAGTGTATGTCTTGTAATGTGTATATTGTTGTATACATCCGATAAGCAATTCGTGAATCTAATAAAGTCGTCATTTTTTTCATAACTCAAAGTGGGTTTTTAATTGGTTAAATAGAAAAGTACAATTTATTTTCTTTCTGCAAATCTGTTTTAAAGCTTATAAGACTTAATAACGGACCAATAAATTCGTTAAAAACAAAACATATTTGAACATTTGAATCGTTTTCGATAATGCATTTCGCGCTCAAAAATCATCGATAACTTCTGATATGGCTACGTGATTTCGCCGCCTGATTTTCTTAACTAGATTCAACGGTCACACCAGGCACTACACTTTTGGCGTGTTGCACATTTCTCTGTTGAATTAAAGTAAAAAGACCGACTCGTGGTTATATAACAAGATGAACAGCCTGAGGACAGCCACCATGCGATTTGCCGCTCTGGCCAGCTCCAACGCTGGATCCCTGGGCAAGCGCGACTTCACCCGCAGCCTGTGGCACATGACCAAAAAGCCGGTGACAGCCGGAGGATCCGATCATGTAACCGTGTTGAATCTCCACAAACCCAGCATTAATTGCACGTGCGGCTGCAACGTGCACACTAAATGTAAGTTAACTCAATGAAGTCTTGCAAGGGCGGTCCATGCCGCCGGTTACATAACCTCAAACGCGGGTTGAGGAAATGTGGACCAAAACACTGAAAATTAAACCCTTTGCCTATCCCCAGGTGAGCGGGAACTGGTGGAGTTCCTCACCGAGGAGATCGTGGCCGAGCGCAAGGTGCTAAAGGGCAAAACGGTGCCCAGCACCCTGGACGGATTCGCCGTAAAACTGACCGGTGCGAATGTGGAGCTCACCAAGCAGACGGACAAGGAGAAGGTGGTGGTCAGCTTCAATGTGAACCACACGGTGGACACAGAAAAGGAGCCGGAAATTAATCCGAATGCCGACAAGTTGGAGCTCGACGAAATGAGGAGCAAGCCCCAGTTCGAGGTGGACATCACCAAGGGAAAGTCTACGCTGTCCTTTACCTGCAACTTCCTTCAAGGCGAAGCACAAGAGGGCGAGTACAGTGAGTACTTTAAAAGAAGTCCTTTATGATTCAGTGGTAACACCGGACTTACCTTTCAGACGATGTCTTCTCCATTGATGAAATGACCATCTTTGAGGGCGAGTGTAACGATGAGGTCTATGCCGTTGCCGGCGACGTGCTTGACGGTTACTTGTACGACTTGCTAATCAATTTGCTGGAGGAGAAGGGCATTAGCCAGGAGTTTGCAGAGAAACTGTCCGACCTAGCCACTGCCCATGAGCATTCTTCCTACATCGGTCTGCTGGAAAAGCTCTCAAAATTCACTGCCGGTGGCAAGTGAATGTACGTCCCACCTTATCTTAAAGCATAAAGTTGTGTAGGTTTTTAAGTTTCTATTGTCTGCTGTCGCAGTTTCATCACTAAAGACAGTTTTGATTAGTTGTGTTTTTGGTTCGACTGTGACAGTGAAACTTAGTTTTTAAGCCAGAAAACATTTATACATGTTTTAGATAAAACTATAGAAACGGTTGCCAATAATTAACCCACTTCGGCATCAGCTTCGGTTTGGTTTTTAACAAATACATCGTTAATTCCTTAGTTCTTGTCTTGTTTATTTCTTTAACAATTTTCCTGTATCGATTTTTCGTAGTTGACTTTTTTTGTGTGGAGTTTCCTGTTGATTTAGAAGGGCCTTGAATATGGCCTGGGATCGTAGTCACTTGGTCGGTGTCCTCCCCACTCCTCGTGGTTCTTGCAGGCGGCACATATGAAGAGAGCGAGAAGCACAAGTGCTGGCAGCAGTTGCATCTTGATTATTCTGAATTTGGCTTTGGATTGTGCTGCTGAAGCAATGGATGCTCCTTTTTATAGGTGAGATTGCCCAAACTTATCATTGAAATTGTGATTTCCCTCTTGGGGAAGTACTCCTATCTGTTTGCTTGGCCGATGGGATTTACATTTAACTCATGACTTATAGGTACTGTGCTTTAGTAAACAGGATTATCAGCGTGACGACCTTGGTAAAACCATACTTTGTCATCAATATGGATATATTTCGATATAGCCCTTTATTTTATGTACGCACAATAATAAGAACTCAAGCCCTTGCTTAATCTTGTACTTTTAAGAAACTGCAAGCCGGATTTTGTCTGAATATAACAACTTTTATAGTTCGCTAGTTGAACTTAATTATAAGACATTCACTAAATAATTTACATAAGATATAGCTTTACGGATACGAGTCATGGTACTAAACCATAGCTGCTTCTGGTACGCGGTAAACCTAGTCTGTTACTCCACCCTGGTGCCGGCGCTGGTTACCGGTGAGGTCATTTTGTGCCAGGTTCTGGCCAACTGTGGACTCAAGGTCGTAGCCAGGATGCTGGAGCTGCGTAACGGGTCAACTTTTGGGCTTGGGCTGCGTCTTTCCGCCTGAATGGTTCGCGTTGTCGTACTCCGAGCCCGTGCAATACTCAGATCCGACCTCCCGCAGCTCAATCTTTTGCTCCCTCATGGCGCGCTAAAGGTCAAAGGTTGAGTAAACGTTGAGCGATGATGAAACTTTGTCTTACCTTGACGCACTCCTGATAAACACGGAATATCGGCGCGCAGCCCGAGTCATCCGTCTGACCCTTTAGGAATCCTTCCGAGAACCAGCTGTTGAAGCAGGCGTCGTACTGCTTCTTCAGCTCATTGCAATCCTCGCCAATGCTGTTCATTTGTGGAGTGGAGTTCTTTGATTTTCAGTTATAATTTCTCTATTGAATAATACGCCGAAAAAATGTGAGAATGCTTTGTGGGAAGGTCATACTAAAGATAACGTTTCAGAGATGTGGAACACAGCAATCGATAAGAGTTTCGTTAAACTTGAACATGCAATCGAATTTTGAATCTTCAATTCTTTAAGAATGTCTAATTTATTTTAGTAAAGGCACTGTCCATGTTTGGTAATGATACTATTAAAAGCCAAAGTACTGCAAATTGGTGCCAATGAACGCTGGCGAGGATTAGGATGGCTTTATAGAGCAGCTAACAGGGTCAGCTCTTGCCCGCCTGATGATTTCCAGCAGATCTATTGGCGTTATCATCTTCAATACCGGTTTCGAAGATCGGATCTATCTCCCGCAAATCAATCTTCTTCTCCTTAATAGCGCGCTGTTGATTACAGGTTGGTCAAACCATATACACGGTTTAGGAACCAATTAGCTCACCTTGACGCATTCCTTATAAATCCGAAAAATCGGAGCACACGCTGAGTCATCCGTTTGGCCTTTTAGGAACCGCTCCGAAAACCAGCTGTTGAAACAGGCGTCGTACTGCTGCTTCAGCTCGTTGCAATCCTCGCCAACGCTGCTCATTTGTATACTAGGTATGATATTTTGATTTTAATTTACAATGCCTATTACAAGAGTTCCGAAAAAATGTGTCAAAGGTTCGTGGAACGGTACTACTGAAGAAAAGGTTTCAGAGATGTGAGAATAGAGCGTATCGATATCAAAAGTTTCGCTGGACGAAGCTTGTAATCGAAATTCAATTCTTATTAGATTATAATAAATTAATTACATTAAATTTATTAAAAAAAAAACATTACAATAGTCTTCGAAGCCGACTAAAATGATACTTTTGTTAGTATATATCAATTTGGCAGCGTTTTGACAACACCCCCCGATAAAAGTCAATAATTTTCTTTCTCTTGTTTTTAAGGTTTTTTCAGTTTTGGGTTCATACAAAATGTAGTTATTAGTATTATCATTTAACGTAATGAGCGCTAAAACAAATTGATGTGTGACTTGGCTACAACAATATGCAATGGATACAACGAATGATAAAAATAGACCTCCGACCCAGTCGGAAACCGAATCGGAGGCCTGACAGCATTTGACCCAACGTGTTGTCCATGGCCATTCCATTTTAATAGTCGAAGTGCTACAAATTTGATCTGTTTACGTTTTGCTGATGTTTAAGCTAACGCTCGTTGGAGAGGATGGGCTGAGGATGCAGCAACGTCTACTCCTCGTCGATGGTTTGGACTTGTTGCTGTTGCTGCTGCTGCCTATCTTGGTTGTTCTTGTGGTGCCCGCGCTGGTTACGGTTGCGGTTGTTGCGATCGCGCCGCTGGCCTAGCCAATTGCCGCCTTGGTTGTTCTGGTTGCGGTTGTAGCCACGGTCTCCACGATTGCCCATGTTGCCGCGCTGGAAGAAGTTGCCCTGCTTCATGTCGAACACCTTTTCGTTGACGTCCACAAGATTTGTGACCTTGTCCACGAACTGCATGGCCAGGGCCTGCAGGCGCGATGGCTCCGAACGGTGCATAACCACTGTTTCGGATGGATCGTCCAGGCTGGCCATGAGCTCCTCGTTGATGATCATCTTACTTATGATGGAGTGCACTTTCGGCACGGGCAGCTCGTACATCTGCGCCAGCGAGGGAATGCTGATCGAGGTGTAGACGTTCGAGTAGGTGAACAGGTAGGTGCGCAGCGACTCTTCCTTGATGAACTTGGTCAACATCTCGCGCACGCGATCCGACTCGTAAAATAGGTCCCAAACCTTCGTGTTCATCTTCTTGTTGACGATGAAGTTGGCGCACGCCTGCCAGTTGCCGCAGCGCATCGCCTTGGCAGCAGCCACGACGTGCTCACGCATCGACTCTGGTGGACCCACCAGTGACTGACGCTCTGAGGAACGCAACTGTTGGTAGAACGTCTTACTGATCATGCGACGGCGGGCATCGAATTCGTGGGCGGCAATATAAGGAATTTCGAGCAGCATAGCGGACACCAGGTAGACGCATTCGAGCAACTCAAGGTTGATGTGCATATGGAATGGCATCTGGCGTTGCTTCTCGATTTTCTCCTGCTCGGCAGATCGCTCGTGCTGGCGCTGAGGCAGCAAGCCTTGGGCGAGCAGCTCCTTGGGCTTGCCGGTGACCATCAAATCCACCAGACAGTGATGCGCATCCTTGACGTTCTCCTGGCGGAAGGCGCACAGTCCCAGGTTGGCCATCATGCGGTTATACAGGATGCGGGTGGCGGGATCAGCGGCGTCGATGTTGTCCTGCAGGTGAGACATCAGCACCAGATCACGGGCCTGGAACCAGTTGTCGTGCATGGCATGATGGTAGATGTGCGCCAGGATGGCCCTTGTACGGATACGATCCGTATCGTCCTTGGCGTAGATGAATTTGCACAGCTTATCCATTACGTCTACGGAGGTGGAGGTAGTGGCTGGCACCTCTCCACGCTTCTTTTTCAGCACCTCCGGATCAAACTTGTAGTAGAGATGTTCGATCTTGCGCAGGTAGATACGACAGCGCTCGTTGTTGGTGCCAGAACGCTCGAAATACTGCAGCACCAGTTCAATGGTCTTCACCACGTTCACCTCGTCCTTCAGCCGGGACACGTAGTCGTTGGAGTGTGGATCGCATTCCTTCAGCAGCTTCACAAACTCGTCATCCAGGCGCTCCACGGCAGCCAGTGGGCATCCCCTCACGTAAAACGGCGCTGTGACGTATTCCTCGTGCTCCTCGGCAACGCTTTCGCTCATAATGATGTCGGCGTTGGCCAGCAGAAGCTTCATCATGCTCTGCATTACCTCCAGAAGCAGAGCCCAGTGCTCTAGCTTCATGGGCTCGGAAATCTTCTGGTTGTAATCGTAGATAGCCGAGATGATGTTGAAGTGAATCTTCACAGACACGGCGGTGCCCAGGTTGTGCTGATCGGAAATGTCCCTCAGCTCGAACAGAAGATCGATCTGCAAACGGCGATCTGTGCGCTTCTTGCCGCGAGCCGACATAATTTCCAACAGCTTGGCCAGCACCAGGGGAACATCGATCTCTGCGTCCTTTTCGAACATCTTGGGTTTCTCCACCACGTGACCCTTGACCACGGTCTCCCACTCGCCATCCTCATCGTCCTCGGCGCGCTTGCGGATCTTGATCTTCTGCTCCTTACGCTTGTCCTTCCTCTTGTCGTCATCCTTTTCCTCCTTTTCGGTAGTACGCTTCAAGAATCGCTCGCGCATGTTCTGGTACTGGTTCTCATCGTCGGAGGACTCGGTTTCCGATTCAGAGTCCGAGTCCCAATCAATGGAGTCATCGGAATCGTCGTCATCGGCGGGCGCAGCCTTTGCCGGGGCGGTCTTCACCGCTTTCGGAGCCGCTTCTGTGGGCTTCACCCCGGAGTCACTATCATCGCCAGCATCGCCGCCATCGCTCTCAAGGGCCACCACCTCGTCCTCGGCCTCGCTCTCCTGGTCGGGTGCCTCACGGAATCGCGACAGATCGTCCTCAAAGTCCTTGATGTACTTGCGTACCTTCTGGCGCAGAGTGCCCAGCGACTTGGAGTTGTTCTTGGAAAGGTTCTTCCTGCCCTCGCGATCCTCCCACACCTCATTGATGAAGTCTTCCAGCTCGGCCAGGCAGCGAATGTAGAATCGCGGCGTAATACCGTTCTCCTCCTTTGAGATGACCGGCAGTGCCTTTTGGTAGGCGCGCGTCAGATCCTCGAAGCTGCTCAAGGTATTGGGTATATCCTTGATCTTCTTGTGGTTGCGAATGGTTTTGATGATGCTGGTGAGGTTCTCGTAACGCTTCTCCTTCGTGGAGCGGACCACGCGCTTGACCTCTTCCTCATCGTCGCTGAATTGCTGTATGCCACGGAAATGAATTGATTAGAAATGGATGAGACTCACATCTGAGCGGTACTTACGAAGGCGCTGGCTTTGTTAAAGTTGGTCGCTTGGATCTCATCCTCGCTGGACTCGGACTCCGAGTCGGACCCGTTGGCAAAGAAACGCGACATCTTCGTTGACTTTCTACGCGGCCGTTTGTCTGCGCCTGGAATCACAATTTATTAGTTTCTGGCCACATAAGTTTTTGCTATTGTTGAGGTTATGTTTGAGCGGCCAACATGGCGTTTTGCAGAAATGCATGCCAAATGTTTTCGCTGGACTTATGGTTGCTTCATTCGAAGCCTTGCCAGAAATCGGTTCACTGTCTTGCCTTTTGAGTGTTTATCACCACCTGGCTCTTAATATTTCACAATAAACTTACTATTTTACAGCAAAACTAAACGATGTCGAATGCACAAGACATCAAAAAGAGAGACTAGAGATGGCCGATGGTTACATGTGTTTTCGTTTGCGATATATATTGTTAAAAGTCACGGGGCGGGGCGTTTGATATATATATTTATACTAACTGTCAAGTTTCGAAATGATTACGCTCCTATTATATGAAAAGGAGAGTGTTTACAATATAATATTATTTTAACAAAATAGTTTTAATGTATGTGGCGAATCATACGGTCGCTTAAATCTATCTCATCTCTAAGAGAGTCACTGTTTAGACTGAAAGAAGTGCACACCCATCGATAACAGAATGCCGGCACTTTTGTTGATATATCGATAGCAAGTAACCTGTAGGGCGGTAAATTTACAATAAAACCAGCAAATTACACAGAAAAGATAAATGAAACACGAAACAATAGAAGGAATAATATTTATTCAAAATAATGTAAAAATGATAATCTGTGATCAATGCTTACATAGATGTTATTTTAGTGCACTGCAACATTTCCAAGCGTCGGCAACATGTTGCTGCGCTTGCGTGCAAAAGAGCCGGCATTTCTTGGCCAAACAGAGTGGGGTTCCCATACTGGCGCCCCAACCAATCTCCGGATCAATTGGTCCGTCCAACATGCAGCCAGGCAGCCAAGGAAAGGCCAAAGCAAAACCAAGCCAAACGTTTTCGCGCGCGCCAACAAGTCGCATGCGTTCTCTCCTCCGCGCCGACGGATAGTTCAAGTTCAAAAACTCAATTTTTCGGATGTACTCGGCGATTTGGCAGCGTTGATGCCAACATCCGGCGGCGATAGCGTCTCAAGTGCTTTGCGGCCCGCTAAAAAGAATTCAATAAATTCATTCATTTGAATTCTTCCCGTGTGTGTTGTGTTGTGTCTTGGCGGTGTAAACAAAATTTGGCCCAAGTGTGCGGTGAGTGCGTGGCATGTGCTTTGCCCATCCACATCCTGTTTAAGTGGCATCCTAAATGCGATGCGACGACCGGAATCGCTTGAAAACACGAAAACACGGAAAACACTTTAACGCAAATGTAAGCATAATAAATAATAACTGCAGATTGATGGAAATGTGTGTATCTGCGGTCTTGGAAATGGCAAATTAAAAATTGATCGGTTAATCTCGCGTAATCACCATTTCCCTGGCTTTTCGACAGCTGACATTCGAGAGTGCATATGTCGGCTTTATTATCCGGAGAAATTGATGAGAGCCCGATAAATTCCCTGTCCGCCTATCGGCATTTGAGTCCGTAAGGGGGCCGTGAAATAGTACGGCTTCCGGTCCTTGACTTCTCCGAAACTGCAGTTGCAATCGTAAATTGTGAGTGGGTGTAGAAGCTTATATGCATTTACAATCCAAATCGGCAAAAAGGGGCCCCTTTTCCTGGGTTTCTGTTTCTGTTTCCGTTACGCTTTTGTGCTGTTTATTTTGCTTCCGTTTTCCGTTGGATTGTTACGGCTTGTGCGGCCCCATAAATCCTGAATATGGGTTGGATATTTTCAAAACCGATGCTTGAATCGGACCATAGAAATTTCCATTTTAATGCAATTTCTGCTCTTGCACCATTACAGATTTCCTGCTGATTGAATTCAATGAATAATTCCTAATAACTAGTCCATCGTTCCTGCCTCAATTTTAATTCGGTTTTTATTGACCAAAGCGTTGCCTTTCATTCAATTTATAGTCATCCATTACACTGGAAGAATCTATTGTTCTTTAGCTAAATCTTTCCTCGGCAAAAAATTTAAACTTAATGTTTAATCATTTATTAATAGTTTTCCATACTTGTAAAATAAATTTCCAATTTGTATGTACTACAATTTAAATGAATAGTCTTTTGAATAATAGTAACTTATTGCAATACTCCCTTTCTATGCACTATAAAATCTGCGTGTTTTTCATTTCAATCTAGGGTGAGCAAACATAAAGGTTACACTCGTAAGAGTCTTGAGCTCATGTTTTATTCGGGGATTTGGGTAACACCCTTTTCATGCTGCACACTTTGCGCCAAGACGAAAACTCCCAAGCTAATGAAAAACCAGAGAAAAAACACGAAACAAAATAAACCCACTGACAGGAGCTTGAAAATTCACAAAAACGTCGGGGAAAATGGGCAGGGAAGAAAATAGAAATGCAGGCGGAATCCCAAAGTGCATCGGATGCGGTTACCATTTATTAGCCTTTGGCAGCTGGATGAGCTAACTGCCTGGCTTAAGGGTGCCATTAGCATAGCCTCACGATCGGGAAAACTTCTGAGGCAGAACAAATGGGCAGCATTTGGGAAATATAGAGCTCCTTCGCACCTAATCGTTGAAATTGTCTATATTTTTGGCGCTTTATTTGTATATATATATGTATATATTTATAAATGGGGCGTGCTCCTGGACACGATCCGTACATCTATTCAGTCCATTGACTAAGTTTGTTTACAATTAACCGACGCGACAGCATTAAACAAAAACTTTGTAAACAATTGCACGAATATGGTACAGAAACATATGGATGAGATTTCGTGAATGTTATTCTGTTAAATGGATTGATTTAAGGTGCCTACGAATTAAACAATATCAGCACCTTGCCAAATTTTCGTTGGCAGATCTTACAAAAACAAAAAGTACAAAAATAAATAGGAAAAAGCCGCGTTAAAGCAAATACATTTTACATTCTCTATTTATTGACTGCTTATCTGCGAAAAGTTCAATTAAAGGCCAAGTTTATACATTATTTAGCGGCGCCAAAAGGAAGCGATATACAAATGAACAAGCGAAATTGCTTAGATAAGGTTTTTATTCTACTCCCCAGAAGTCCACCCTATAAACATGTTTTTAGCATGATATTTATGTATTTGGGTTACCTTTGATTTATGCTGGCAGCCATTTGATATGCATCTTTCGCGTTTGTTCGTCGCTATTGTTCTTACCGGAAAACGCAGGAAACGCAGAAAACCCAGAAAACCGCACCCATGTCGAAGTTCCACCCATTTATTGCCCTCCAACTCCGGGGCCGTCTGGGATCTGCTAGGACAAACTAATTTCGCCCGGCTAATACATACGAATGACAGTCGTTTAATTTCTATGAGTCATAAATTTGTATAATGCGCATACGCCATGTGTGCGCGTCACAGTCGGAAGTGGAAGTGGAAGTAAGGCGGCAAACAATTGCAACTAATTAGGTGGAAATGAAGCCGAATCCACGGGCACACGCTGTTTGCAGTTAATCAAGGGCAGGAACAGCGAAAGGAACTCTCGGCGAACTTAAATTGAAATGTAAGATACATACGCAGTTTTGCTCCTTTTGTTTTAGTTGGAAAAGTTCGTTCGTTTGGGCAAACACAACACGTCGTCACTTCAAGTGTCTGCATCCGAGCGCTCCAAACTGTCACTTCTGCCCGGAATCTCAATCCTCGAGCCGAAGCCTCGAAGTTTTTGTTTGCTTTGGGGCCGGGCCAGGGATCATCCCAATACAAAAGCCAATCACCACAAAACAGCCGAGTAATGATGCGGAACTTTTCAAGTGCCTTTGTTTCTCACTTCTGGCCTTTCCTTTTCATAGCTTTCCATTCCTTTCACTTTCACTCCTGCTTTTTTGCGATGCTTTTGTCCAAAGGACGCTGGACATTGACAGTCTGGCTGTCGTCCAGATTCAAATCTCTAAAAAAATTATTAGCATAGGCAAATGGCGAGGATTTCTGTGCATCTGCAGATGGCAAATTACTTAATTACCCAGGGAAGTTTTTGCAAAGATGTTTTGCTAGATGGAAAGTACTGATTATTAATATTGTACGGATATTTATACTTTCAGCTATCTGTGGAACACCTGTAGATACAAATACATAGGCGTATTTATAGAATACCCACAATGCTTAAAAACACTTCTTAGCAGCCTGGGCCAAGCCATTCTAATGCCCAACTTCATAATTTAGCCTAATTGATTGTTTGCCATTTTTGCCTAAGCTTATAACGATATGGATTGCAAATGCATCCCCTTGCCAATCCGAAGAGTGCCTCTCCATTTAGCCAAGTTGCAAGTTGGAAGCCAGGACAAAACGAACCGATATGCAATTAGCATTATTAGGTTGTGCGTAACACGAAACCGCAATTCCCGCATTGCACAAAGGTTGAATTTAAAATGGCTTTTCCTATTTCCGACTGTTTGCCCTTCAGCTCATGGAATTCTATGAGTGCACAAAAGTGCATGCATATTTGCACTGCTGCATCATCTCATTAATTAAGTAACCGAAGGGGAAACAGACGTTTTTAATATTTTACTTATACCATCGCCTGGACTTTCTCCTGGGAGGAGCATTTTTGATAGCGCGCACGCTTGGAATTAATTAATTTTCCTTCGCATCCAATTCGAAAAGTGTGCGATGACTTAACTGGTAGCATTTTGGCCAATTTAATTTATTACTTTGTGTTCTTAGAAAGTTGGATTTTCAATTACAAGGCTTTGGAATCTGGAGATTATGCTTTGACACAAAAGGCGGAATTAAGCCTTTGAAACGAAGTTCGGAATTTTAATTGAAGTATACGCAACATAAAGGTTTAATGAGCAATACAAATATTTTGTAAATAAATATAATTTATTAAGGATTTAGTTGCCTAATGCCTTGGGATAAATGCCAATTTATCTTACTGAGCAAAATATTTGCAAAAAAGAAATCAGTCTTATGCGCTGATTACATTGTTTTGCACAAATCACTCTTCTAGATATCAACAAGCTGAGAGTAAATCGCAGGAAAATGATTAAAATTGCATAAGTAAAACTGAATTTACCGCATTTTTCACGAGTGAAGGCACACCCCCATTCGCCATTTGTATTCCACATTTAATGAGCTCGCCGGGCGAAGTTAGCACCTCATGTTAGCTGTCATGTAATTTAATATGAGGCGCCTACCTCGCGCCTGTCACCCACGACACCGACACCGATATCAGGACGAAGGACGCAGGACGAAGGACCCTGGTACCAGTATCCCAGTGCCCAGCACCCAGCTCCCAGCTCCCAGCACCCAGTATGCCAGGGAAATGGGCAACACCCAACCAATTAACTGTGGGCCATTGTGCACAAAATGGCCCGTGACGGGGCGAAATGCCGAAAGTCGGCTGGAAAAGCGGAAAACCGGTGACGGGGTGGGCGCAAGGGGGAGACAAATTACAAAATGAAAATGATATATGTGCTGATGCCGGGGGGCACGATGGATTGAGGCATAAGTGCGGCGTGTCCGTCAGTCAGTCAAATTTATGTGTCGAGGGGTGTTGGCAACCCCCAAAACCCCCAAAACCCCCGGAACCCTCGTTCCAAAACCCCCTGGCCCAGCAGCTGTTGCTGAATAATGAAGCTGCTGTACGCCCATCAAAGAAATGTCAACAAACTACAAAAAAGCCTGCGAAAAACACGAGGAAATTAAGGACTTCTGGGGCGGGAGGAATGTTCAATTGTATGCAAAGTGGTTGGCAGTTAGGCAAAAAATAGAATAAAATTTAAATTAATGATAGGCAGAGATGTAAGCAAAAGAATAAATTGTCAGCGTTCGAAAGATTGAACCTAAATCGCGTAAAGACGCCTTAAAAAAGACAAAGAAATGATGGCATAGTAGATATAATAGCATTCATGAAAGAACAAAAAGCCTCTTGATCTGTTGGGAATTTTCACATTTAAGCATCATGGGTTTGCTCAACCAGAAATAATACTTTCAACATATTTAAAAGTAGATTTCCGATAAAATAGTTTCATTTTTTAAGGGTATTTTGCTTTCTCTATTCACAGCATTTGCCATTCCTTTTTGTATTTTAAATTGTCACCCACAGCTACAAAAAGCTTTGTCCAGTCGACTTTATGTGTGCGACATCCATTACTCAAGTATATAAATCAAGTGTCGGACACTCCATTTATACGTGCGAAGGACCTTTAGTCCTTTAGTCCAAAAAAAAAAACAAACAAAAAATAAAGGAAAGGAAAAACCAGAGGAGTCGAAAAATTGGATCTTTTTAGCGGGCAATTAGTCCTTTTAAATTGCAGAGCCGGAAAGTTTAC